GAAAGGGTAACCCCCTTTCCCCCACCTGGGGTGACTAGTGTCAGTGCAGAGCAGTACATAAAGTGCACTAAGTAATATGCAGAGCAGTATGTGACAGGGTAGGGCCCCTGGACCAAGGCATATAGGCAACTGAGTTTTCAGTGGTGTGGGGTTAAAAAACAGATGCTGAGGAAGCGACATTGTCACGGTCTGGGTCAGGTTCAGAGACCAGTTGCTATAGCAGTAAAAGGCTTAACTGAAACCAGCAGGATCAGTACACCAGCGGGTCACCCTGGGAAATAGCGCAGGCTCACCTGAAGTGCGGGGTCTAAGTATTAACATGTTTTCACCAGAGCTCCTAGTGGTGGAGATGGATTTGGCTGCGTGTTAATACCAGGTCGCATATCTCAGGATCACCCCACCAGGGAATGAGCAAGCTGAAAACCAATAGCAGATCAAACAGGTTAGGGATCAAACAGAAGCGGAGTCAGTCACAAGCCAAGGGTCGGTCACAAATGGTAGCAGATGTGATGAGGATGAGGCAAAATCGTAGCCCGTAGCAAGCCAAAGGTCGGTAGCAAAGATGTAGACGGCAGCAGGACTGATAAGCAGGATATTGGCTGGGAAGGCACAATAATCTGGCAAAGAGGAAATGCAGAGGCATGGCTTTTATCAGGAAGTTCATGGGAGGAGCAAGGCGTTCAAGGTTCAACAGAAAACAAGGCCCAAGGCTGGATTTTCCAATAGATCAGGCAGAGTGTTGTCCAACATCCCAGGTAGCTCAGTGAGAAGAAACATTGCCTCTCACCGCAGAAGTCCCAGGTTTGATCCCAGGCTATGACAGACATCTCCCCACTGCCTGTCAAACACCTTTGAAAAGCATTTGCTGTGGATAGTGTTCAGAGTGGTGGCAGGGTCTTCCGCAAGTGTAAATTTTGCCTTACAGGGTGATCAGTGATATAATAAGGATTAGGAGCCAATCCTGCTTGTAGGAAACCACCTGTTGATGACACTTATTCTCTATGCTGGTAGTGAACTTCCAGCACAAACAGTATATATATGTGGTGACCTACCTCTAATGCCACTGCAAAAAAAGGCATCTTTTAAGATTGAAGTACAGTTCTCAGGTACAGTTGTGAAACCTGACTTTAGAGTAATGGCCTGGACACCTGCTGATTGCTCACATTAGACAGCTGGCAGCCTGCTAAAGCTGGTGTTGTAAACTTTGAAAGTTGAGATGAATGAGCTTGTTGTAAATGTAATTACTTTTGGATACTTGTTCAGGATATATATAGTACCTCACAGAAGTGAGTCCACCCCTCACATTTTTATAAATATTTGATTCTATCTTTTCATGTGACAACACTGAAGAAATGAAACTTTGCTACAATGTAAAGTAGTGAGTGTACAGCTTGTATAACAGTGTAAATTTGCTGTCCCCTCAAAATACCTCAACACACCACCATTAATGTCTAAACCGCTGGCAACAAAAGTGAGTACACCCCTAAGTGAAAATGTCCAAATTAGGCCCAAAGTGTCAATATTTTGTGTGGCCACCATTATTTTCCAGCACTGCCTTAACCCTCTTCGGCATAGAGTTCACCAGAGCTTCACAGGTTGCCACTAAAATCTTCTTCCACTCCTCCATGACGACATCACGGAGCTGTTAGAGACCTTGACCTCCTCCACCTTCCATTTGAGGATGCCCCACAGATGCTCAATAGGGTTTAGGTCTGGAGACATGCTTGGCCAGTCCATCACCTTTACCCTTAGCTTCTTTGCAAGGCAATGGTCATCTTGGAGGCGTGCTTGGGGTCGTTATCATGTTGGAATACTGCCCTGCGGCCCAGTCTCCGAAGGGAGGGGATCATGCTCTGATTCAGTATGTCACAGTACATGTTGGCATTCATGGTTCCCTCAATGAACTGTAGCTCCCCCAGTGCCGGCAGCACTCATGCAGCCCCAGACCATGACACTCCCACCACCATGCTTGACTGTAGGCATGACACACTTGTCTTTGTACTCCTCACCTGGTTGCCACCACACACGCTCGACACCATCTGAACCCAATAAGTTTATCTTGGTCTCATCAGATCACAGGACATGGTTCCAGTAACACATGTCCTTAGTCTGCTTGTCTTCAGCAAACTGTTTGCGGGCTTTCTTGTGCATCATCTTTAGAAGAGGCTTCCCTCTGGGACTACAGCCATGCAGACCAATTTGATGCAGTGTGCGGTGTATGATCTGCGCACTGACAGGTTGACCGCCTCCACCCCTTCAACCTCTGCAGCAATGCTGGCAGCACACGTACGTCTATTTCTCAAAGACAACCTTTGGATATGACGCTGAGCGCATGCACTCTTTGGTCGACCATGGCGAGGCCCCATCTGAGTGGAACTTGTCCTGTTAAACTGCTATATGGTCTTGGCCACCATGCTGCAGCTCAGTTTCAGGGTCTTGGCAATCTTTTTATAGCCTAGGCCATCTTTATGTAGAGTAACAATTCCTTTTTTCAGATCCTCAGAGTTCTTTGACATGAGGTGCCATTTTGAACTTCCAGTGACCAATATGAGTGAGAGCGAGAACACCAAATTTAACACACCTGAGACCTTGTAACACTAACGATTCACATGACACCGGGAGGGAAAATGGCTAATTGGGCCCAATTGTACTTAGTGATGTACTCACTTTTGTTGGCCAGCGGTTTAGACATTAATGGCTGTGTGTTGAGTTATTTTGAGGGGACAGCAAATTTACACTGTTATACAAGCTGTACACTCACTACTTTACATTGTAGCAAAGTGTCATTTCTTCAGTGTTGTCACATGAAAAGATGTAATAAAATATTTACAAAAATGTGAGGAGTGTAGTCACATCTGGGAGATACTGTAAATACTTTGTGTTCATATTCTGTATGCTGTTATGTAGTGTAAGGCCCATTTCACACAGGCTTCAGCTTGTGCAAGCAGTGTGAACAGCAAGCTGTTATGAAACTTTCAGTAAGCTTTGAGTAGCTTTCTCCAAGCTATTAAGGTGCCCCTCAGCTTCTGTTTGGAAGGTTATTCACATATCTAGGGCAGCACAGTGGCTAAATGGTTAGTACTTCCGCCAGCAGTACTAGGGTCATTGGTTCGAATCCCAACCACGGCACCACCTGCCTGGAGTTTGCATGTTCTCCCTGTGCCTGCGTGGGTTTCCTCTGGGTACTCTGGTTTCCTCCCACACGCCAAAGACATGCCAGTAGGTTAATTGGATCCTGTCTAAATTGGCCCTAGTATGTGTATGTATGAATGTGAGTTAAGGACCTTAGATTGTACACCCCTTGAGGGTTAGGGACTGATGTGAATGTACAATATATATGTAAAGCGCTGCGTAAATTGACAGCTCTATATAAGTATCTGTAATAAATATCCTAATGGAAGTGCAGATTGTAACTTTAAACTTTGACTGACAATTGCGCAGTCATGCAAGATTGTACCCATATGAAATTTTTTATAATTTTTTTCTCACAAATAGAGCTTTCTTTTGGTGGTATTTAATCGCCACTGGGCACTTTACTTTTTGCGCCATAAACAAAAAAAGTGCAAAAAATTTGAAAAAAAAATGTTTTTCTTTGTTTCTATTATAACATTTTTCAAACAGGTAATTTTTCTCCTTCACTGATGTGCGTTGATGAAGCAGGACTGATGGGCACTGATAGGTGGCACTGATAGGCAGCACTGATGGGCACTGATCGGCAACACTAATGAGATGGCACGGATAGGCGGCACTGATAGGCAGCACTGATAGGCAGCACTGATGATGGGTACTGTTAGACAGCACTGATAGGTAGCACTGACTGGCATCGCTGCTGGGCACTGACTGGTGGCACTGCATTGATGGGCACTGGTGGGTGGCACTGGTGGGCACAGGTGGGTGGCACAGGTGGGTGGCACTGCTGGGCACAGGTGGGTGGCACTGCTGGGCACATGTAGGTGGCACTTCTGGGCACAGGTAGGTGGCACTGCTGGGCACAGCTGGGTGCACTGCGGGGCAACAGGTGGGTGCACTGCTGGGCACAGGTGGGCGGGAACTGATGAGTGGCACTGCTGGGGTCCGATCATTAGGGCACTGATCATCAGTGCCCTTATGATCGGTGCCGATCCCTGCTCTGATAACTGCCAGTTCTCGGCAGTACTTTCCTCGCGCTCTGACAGCGTGAGGAAAGTGCAGCCGAGAACCGGCAATTGCATTTCCCGGTGATCAGCGTGTCATTGGACACGACTGATCACGTGGTAAAAGGCCGCTATGATTGGCCTTTTACCACATCACGTGATCAGCTGTGTCTGTAGGACACAACGATCATGGAGATCACCGGGTGCACACCCCCAGGGGCGCACAGGAGAGCGCGTTCTGGGAGGACGTTATATGACGCCCTCCCAGAACTGGCCGGCCGCAGTGTAGCCGTCATTCGGCTATCTGCGGTTGGCAAGTAGTTAAGTAGCAAGCAGCACTCCAAGGATCTGAGTTCAACATTTGCAAACTGGATCTGAAGGGCCTGTTAAAAGCTTCAAAGCCTTCTGAAAGCTCCTCAAATGTTTTGTAAAGCTTACTGTTCACACCGTGCTTATACAAGCTAAAGCATGTGTGAAACAGGCCTTATAGCCTTCCCTTAACTAGCACTTCCAGTGTAGAACAAAAGCAACCTTTAGCTGCACAGAAGTACCGTGAGGTACCGTGACCAAATGTATTGCACAATCCTCTCCTCCAGTAATTGGCCTTTATGGTCTATGTGTGTTGATTGCATCAGACTGCAGTTCTAACACTCCCTTTGAAACACACTACAGGTGGTGATTACACCAAGGCAAACCAACAAACAGTAAAAGCATCTTTGTATGCAAAAAAAAAAAAAAATAGTTTTTTCCTCCCCATTTTTGCAAAAATGCAAAGGAGATGGCAGATTCCCTTACCTGCATACAATATAGCAGATAACATTGTCATGGCAGTCTATGATCCTATAGCGTTCATCTTTCTGTTCATAGTCAACATGGTGAATATAGCTTCTAAAAGCAGATTCTATAGATGGTCCATTCTCAAAATACTGGAGAGAGATTTCCAGAAATAAAATGTATTTATTTATGTATTTTAACCACTAGCCTACAGGGCACTTATACCCCCTTCCTGTCCAGGCCAATTTCCAGCTTTCAGCGCTGTCACACTTTGAATGACAATTGCGTGGTCATGCAACACTGTACCCATATGAAATTTTTATAATTTTTTTGAGAGAGATAGAACTTTCTTTTGGTGGTATTTAATCACCTCTGGGATTTTTATTTTTTCTTAAACAAACCAAAAACCACTGAAAATTTTGAAAAAAAAAATTTTTTTTCTTAGTTTTTGTTATACAACTTTGTAAATAAGTGATTTTTCTCCTTCACTGATGTGCGCTAATGAGGCTGCAGTGATGGGCACTGATAGGTTGCACTGATGGACACTGATAGGTGGCACTGATGGGCACTGATGAGGAGGCACTGGTAGGTTGCACTGATGGGCATTGACAGGCATCACTGATGGGCACTGAAAGTCAGCACTGATACATGACACTGATATATGGCACTGATAGGTGGCACCGATAGGCAGCACTGACTGGCACTGACTGGCACTGTTAGATGGCACTGACTGGCACTGATAGGCAGCACTGACTGGCACTGATGCGCACTGATAGGTGGTACTGATTGGCAGCACTGATAGGTGGCACTGATTGGCATTGATAGGTGGCACTGACTGGCACTGATGGGTGACATTAAAAGGCAGCTCAGATGGGCACTGATATGTGGCATTGATGTGCACTGGTAGGCACTGATATGTGGTATTGATGTGGCACTGATGGGCCCTGGCACGTGGCACTGATGGGCACTGGCACGTTGCACTGGCACGTGGCACTGACAGGTGGCACTTCTGGGGCCACACTGATCATCAGGGAACACTGATCATCAGTACCCTGATGATCAGTGTACATGTCCCCTCCGCGGAAAGCCGATTACCGGCTCTCCTCTCCTCTCGAGCTGTCAGCGTGACAGCTCGAGAGGAGAGAACTGCCGATAACCGGCATTTCCGTGTTTACATGTAATCAGCTGTGATTGGACACAGCTGATCACATGACCGAGCCGACATTTTCGGCTCTTTCTGTGATCCACTGTGTCCGAGGGACACAGTGCACCGGCGATCGCCGTGCTGCACACTCCCTAAGCCGCGCATGCGCAGTGAGAATGGTAGGACATCATATGATGTCCTATCAGAACGAGAGAACCACCTTGCGCCCGTCATTGGACTATAGCGCGGGCAGAAGGTGTTTAAACAAACCACACATTACAAACAGGTTTATACTTTATACCCAGGAAACAGAGAACACAGACTGACTGCTATGCAGCCAGGGAAAAGGGAAAGACCTCTGGGAGCCACCTGAACTGGAAGGATGTAGTTTCCAGGTGACAGCCTCTATACAGTGCCTTGAAAAAGTATTCATACCCCTTGAAATTTTCCACATTTTGTCATGTTACAACCAAAAATGTAAATTTATTTTTTGGGGGGATTTTATGCGATAGACCAACACAATGTGGCACATAATTGTGAAGTGGAAGGAAAATGATAAATGGTTTTCAAAATTGTTTACAATAAATATCTGAAAAGTGTGGCATGCATTTGTATTCAGCCCCCCTGAGTCAATACTTTGTAGAACCACCTTTGGCTGCAATTGCAGCAGCAAGTCTTTTTTGGGGATGTCTCTACCAGCTTTGCACATCTAGAGAGTGACATTTTTGCCCATTCTTCTTTGCAAAATAGCTCAAGCTCTGTCAGATTGGATGGAGAGCCTCTGTGAACAGCAATTTTCAAGTCTTGCCACAGATCCTCTATTGGATTTAGGTCTGGACTTTGACTGAGCCATTCTAACACATGGATATGCTTTGATCTAAACCATTCAATTGTAGCTTTGGCTGTATGTTTAGGGTCATTATCCTGCTGGAGGGTGAACATCCGCCCCTGTCTTAAGTCTTTTGCAGACTCTTACAGGTTTTCTTCTAGGATTGCCCTGTATTTGGCTCCATCCATCTTCCTATCAACTCTGACAAGCTTCCCTGTCCCTGCTGAAGAAAAACATCCCCACAACATGATGCTGCCACCACCATGTTTCACGGTAGGGATGGTGTGTTCAGGGTGATGTGCAGTGTTAGTTTTCCGCCACACATAGCGTTTTGCTTTTAGGCCAAATAGTTCAATTTTGGTCTCATTTGACCAGAGCTCCTTCTTGCACATGTTTGCTGTGTCCCCCACATGGCTTCTTGCAAACTGCAAATGGGACTTCTTATGGCTTTCTTTCAACAATGGCTTTCTTCTTGCCACTCTTCCATAAAGGCCAGATTTGTGGAGTGCACGACTAATAATTGTCCTGTGAACAGATTCTCCCACCTGAGCTGTGGATCTCTGCAGCTCCTCCAGAGTTACCATCGGCCTCTTGACTGCTTCTCTGATTAATGCTGTCTTTGCCCGGCCTGTCAGTTTAGGTGGACAGGTCTTGGTAGGTTTGCAGTTGTGCGATAATCTTTCCATTTACGGATGATGGATTGAACAGTGCTCTGTGAGATGTTACAATGTAAAGCACTGAGCAAACCATTGGCGCTATATAAATCCTGTATAATAATAATGTTCAAAGCTTGGGATGTTTTTTATAACTTAACCCTGCTTTAAACTTCTCCACAATTTTATCCCTGACCTGTCTAGTGTGTTCCTTGGTCTTCATGATGCTATTTGTTCATTAATATTCTCTAACAAACCTCTGAGGGCTTCACAGAACAACTGTATTTATACTGAGATTAAATTACACACAGGTGGACTCTATTTACTAACTAGGTGACTTCTGGAGGCAATGGGTTCAACTAGATTTTGGTTAGGGGTATCAGAGTAAAGGGGGCTGAATACAAATGCACTCCACACTTTTCAGATATTTATTTGTAACAAATTTTAAAAACCATTTACAATTTTCCTTCCACTTCACAATTATGTGCCACTATATGTCTATCACATAAAATCCCAATAAAATATATATTTACGTTTTTGGTTGTAACATGACAAAATATGGAAAATTTCAAGGGGTATGAATACTTTTTCAAGGCAGTGTATAGCAAATGACTGGATGGGACTACATATCGCAGGAGACCAGAACAGCAGAAGGAAAAGGGAAAGAAGCTCAGATCAAGAGCTAACTACTGAAAACAGCTGCCATGCTGCTTGTCATTAGTGATGGGCCGAACACCCCCCTGAATTTCAAACAGGGACAATTTCCTGAGCAGTATCTTACCTCATCTGAGTATGCAGTAAGATATCGCTCAGCTACTAAAATACAGCATGAGTTATAATATTAAGTCACACAGTATTTTAGCATTGAAACATTTTTTAATGTTTTAGCTATCAGCTTGGTTCCCCTCTGAGAGCTGAATGTCAAAAGAATTGTTGGCATTGCTTGATTTTGAGGGGAACCCCCATGCCAAATTTTGAAAAATGGCATGCGCCCCCCCCAAAATCTATACCAGACCCTTATCAGAGCATGCAGCTCAGCAGGTCAGGAAAGGGGGGGACAACAAGCGAGCAGCCCTCCCCAAACCTTACCAGGCCACATGCCCTCAAAGGGGGACAAGGGCCTCTTCCCCACAACTCTGGCCAGTGGTTCTAGGGGTCTTCGGGCAGGGGGCTTTTTGGAATCTGGAAGCCCCCTTTGACAAGGGGAACCCAGATCCTGCCCCCCCATGTGAATTAGTATGCAGTACTGCATGGCATGGCATGGTACTGCAACCCATTCCAGAAAAATGTGTAGTAAAAAATGACAGGAGACAGTCTTTGACAAGTTCTTTATTAAAAAAAAAAATGTCAATCATGATGCCCGCCGCCACCACCGACCTGAAAAGAGGTAAAAATAACTCTCCGTTCTTGATGCTGGCTCCCACCATCTGCGATAACGTACGTCTGAGTCGAACATGAAGCCCATCACCTCTTGTCATGAGTGTTTGCTGTGGTGTCAGACTGGCCATGTCTGCATGGACGGCACAGCTGTCAGGAGATCCAGCAACTTGGATGAATGGGAAAGTCAGACAGATTGCCACTACAGGGTCCCAAGTCACTGCCACTGCCACCAATTCCCAATGCTAGAGAGTGGGAGGTGGCTTAAATACAGACTGCAATGTGGCAAAAGGCTGCTGGTTACAATTTCCTTACCCCACTTAAACTTTATCTCCTTGATCTGGGATACAACCTGGGAATTTTCACCCTGTGTCATAAGATCCACTTAGTTAGTCAAAGCAATAACTGGGCCCCCCAACGATTACTAGTACACTGGTGAATTGGGACCTGGAAAGACTGAAGGACCTATTAGCTTCCAGTACTGCCCTTTAAATTTGGACCTCCTTAGAATCAGCATTCAGGTACAGAGATACTTGGTCCTCATTTTGAGGTATTGCGAAATAAGTTTTACCTTGTACCTGTTCATTGCTATGGCCATTTTTTTAGCCTTAGCCCGGGTTCATACTGAATGCAACTTTGAAATCGCTCCACTTCACTCGAAGTAGTGCAATTTCAAAGCCGCAGGTCAGTGTGATTTGTACCTCTGGTTTCACTGCGGCTTGCGACTTCATTTAACAAGTCCTTGCAAAGAAAAAAAAAAAAGGTAGTACAGGAACTATTTTTGAAATTGCACTACTTCAAGTCACATGGATTAAGACAGTGCCATAGAAAAACATTAGATGCGACTTCAGGTGTGATTTATAAATCGCATGTCACATCGGTGTGAACCAGGGCTTAGGGTGTTTGTCACATAAATGTTTAAGCCTTAAGGTATGGCATTTCTAGAAAGGTCTTAGTCATCTGCAATCAAGGGACACGTACACAAATGGTTAAACATTGCAGATATAACAACTACTGATCTCAAAAATAACCTGTTAAAAAGGGGTTCTCTTGTTCTGCACCATCTCATCTGCCAGTCAAGGGTAACTTCTAATTTAGGCCTGGACAAGAGAAACCACCCCCTCTCCCAATAAAACGGGCATACTGCATAAGTTAGGTTTAGACACCAAGTCCCTTAACCAAGTCTTAAGTGGTAGTAAAGTCCGTTCTTCCATGTTTATCTACAGGTAAACTTACTTTTAGGTAAAATTAAGATCTTCTAAACATGCACCTTTTAGGAGATCTTCCTG